ACACCCTAACAGAACTGCGTAATTACCCCTAGCAAATCTGTGTAATTACCCCCTAACAGCACTGTGTAATTACCCCTAACAGAACTGTGTAATTACCCCCTAACAGCACTGTGTAATTATCCCCTAACAGCACTGTGTAATTAACCCCTAACAGAACTGTGTAATTACCCCCGACAGCACTGTGTGATTATCCCCCCAAACAACAGTGTAATTACCCCTAACAGCGTTGTTTAATTACATTTATGTAGCCCCTCTCATTGTCTCTGACCATCTACAACACCCCACAGCCACTGAAGTGAAGACATTGCTATAAACAAGGGACTGCAGGAGCACAGCAAGCTCCCATAAACAGCAGTGACATTGTGACTAAATAATCGTGATGTTTTTGTGATGTTGACTGACAGCTAAATATTCACCAGGACACCAAGAATATCCCTCCTGCTTTTCATTGAAATAATCCCATGGCACATTTTACAACCACTTTAGGGAGCAAATCGAGACCCTTCAGTCCAACTCGTCCATTCCGACCAGAAATTCTAAATTAACCTAGTCCCATTTGCCAGCATTTGGCCCATATCCCTCTAAACCCTTCCTATTTATATACCCATCCAGGTACCTTTTAAATTGTGCAATTGTACCAGCCTCCACCACCTTCTCTGGCAGCTCATTCCATACACGCAACACCCTCTGTCTGAAAAAGTTGCCCCTTAGATTTCTTTTAAATCTTTCTCCTCTCATCTTAAACCTGTGCCCTCTAGGTTTGGACTCCCCAACCCTAGGGAAACAACCTCGACTATTCACCCTATCCCTGCCCCTCATGATTTTATAAACTTCCACAAGCCTCCCCAGCTTTCGACACTCCAGGGAAAATAGCTCCAGCCTATTCAGCCTCTCCCTTTAGCTCAAACACTCCAACCCTGGCAAAATTCTTGTAAATCTTTTCTGAACCCTCTCAAGTTTAATAACATCTTTCCTGTAGCAGGGAGGCCATAATTGAACACGATGCATTCTCTGCCAGTGCAGCCATCCCTCGATGTTACACTGAAAGGCAGTCTGAATCTTTGTGTTTAAGTATTTGAAGTGAAAGTGGGACTTTGCCATGCAACAAAACCTGATCAACTAGAGACACAGTGCTACCCAATTGAATCACTTATATTTGAATCAGCAGTCTCCCCAGGGAGCTCTGTTCTTCCTGATCACTGTTGTCCATTGAATAGCTTACTAAGCTGTGACCAACCTCAGGGCTATCAGCTAGTGCTGGGACACTGCTTGTGATTCATCTGATTGATAGAATATCATTTGCAGTTTTGAGTAACTCCTAGTGTATCTGTGACTTTCTCCGCACTAAATGGTTAACTTTCCTTTATTCTTTCCCCTGCTTTCCACCTGAAGGATGTTAAATCTCTCATCGAAAGGTACGTGCGATTTCTCAAAAAGCTGCTTTGTTTTATCATGTCGTAGTATTTCATTACCACTCAATATTACCGTTAGTGAGCGTTGTTTAGCATCGGTTTTTCTCATTGAGCTCCCAAACGGCACCATACCATGCTAGTACTGACAAAGAGCACAACAGCAATGATTAGAGAATGGGTCATTGAGCTGATGTGATAAATTGAAAGGAAACTCCAGAATGATGCAAGGGATCTGAAGCAGTCTGTGGAGTCTGTAGCTGGGACTCAATGTTGAAAATGACACGACTAGTTCGTTTCACTGGTGCAGTGCAGTGGCTTAAGGCTAGCCTTACTACGAGAAATGACCGGGCCTGGTCAACCTCATAGAGGCATAAAGTTTTTAGACCATGGAGAAAGGACCTTCAGCCCATTGTATCTACATGGCCATCAAGCATCTATCCAATGTAATTCCATTTCCCAACACTTAGTTCATAGCCTTTTATAACATTTCAAATGCTCATCAAAATACTTATAAATGTGTTGAGGATTCCTGTCTTAACCATCCTTTTAGGCAATGAGTTCCAGATACCAAAAACCCTCTGGATGACTTTTTTTCCCCTCCAACCCTCTAAGCATCCTGCTCCTTACTTTCAAACTGTGTCCCTCGGTCATTGACTCCCTGCTAAGGGGAAACGTTTCACCCTATCTATCCTATCCATGTCCCACATAACTGTGTACACCTCAATCAGTGTCCCCTCCCCCTCAGCCTCTTATGCTCGAAGGAAAACAACCCCAGCCTATCTAGTGCTCCCTTCATAGCTGAATTGCTGCAGCCCAGGCAACCTCCTGGTGAATCTCCTCTGCACCCTTTCTGGTAGAATCACATCCTTCCTATAGTGTGGGACCAGAAATGCAGACAGTACTCCAGCTGTGGCCTAACTAATGATACATACAGCTCCATCATAACCTCCCTGCTCTTGTACTCATTAATAAAGTCAAGTATTCCATACACCTTCTTCATTGCCAAAGTCCCTCTGATCCTCTGTACTTCCATTCAATGGGCAGTCCCTCGCTTTCAGTTCTCCCAGAATGCATCACCTCACACTTGTCAGGATTAAATTCCATTTGCCACTGTCCAGCCTGTACATATTGTCCTTCACATTAAGGCCTTACTCCTCACACAACCAGTTTTTGTCTTGCCTCTGAGTTTACTGATAATACCCCTACCTCTTTATATGCTGTAATCCTGAGATGGATATCTGCTTCCTGAGTCTTTCACGTAGAAATTTAGCAGAAGAAGAAAACTGTTTAAATTCTCAAATAAAAACAAACAAATAAAAAATTGTATTCCTTCCAAGGTCCTATGTGAAGTTTAAGAAACCGGCCGAGGTGCCTCTTAACCTGCTCCTTGGCGAATTTGGCGGACCCCTACAGCTCATCGTGTGGAGACGGATGTTAAGTGTCATCACTCCAGGTAACACCATCTTTCCCTGCCACAGGGAGTGGATAATTTCATTCGCTGCTTGTTCTTAATGACATGGGATGGATAGCAATGGCTGTCAGCGGGATCACACGATTCCTGTCGATTCCTGCTGCTGTCAACTGAACCAAGCTACGACTGGGGGCTAGAGTGAAAACAGGACCTTCCAGGAAAGGAATGATAAGGTCAGGGCAGCACCCTGGAGAGGGGTGGGAGAGAGGCAGAGAATGAAAGCTTCAGTTCGATGCCCTTTTAAACAGAACGGGAAGATTCTGAAAACGAGCAGCCAATAGTAGAATAGTAGAGGTGGTGGGTAGGAGGCAAGAAGGGAGCTAAAGAAAAAAAGTAAACAAAAGAAAGACTGGCATTTATGCGACATCTTTCCTGGCCATTAGACCATAAGAGATACAAACAGGAGAAGGCCATTCAGCCCCTCGAGCCTAATCCATCATTCAATAGGATTATGACTGATCAACATGTGTCACATCACTTTCCTACCCTTTTCCCATAATCCTTGACTTGCCAATGGATCAGGAATCCCCTGACTGATCAATAATATGTCTCAGCCTTAAATAGACACAAGGATTCTGTCCCCCACAGCTCCCTGTGGCAAGGAGTTCCAAAGGCTCTCAGCACTCTGAGAGAAGAAATTCCTCGTCATCTCAGTATTAAATTGACACCCAAAAGAACTGTGGATGCTGTAAATCAGGAACAAAAACAAAGTTGCTGGAAAAGCTCAGCAGGTCTGTGAAGGAGAAAACAGAGTTAACGTTTCGTGTCCAATTCTGAGAAGGATCACCGGACCCGAAGCGTTAACTCTGTTTTCTCCTTCACAGATGCTGCCAGACCTGCTGAGCTTTTTCAGCAATGTTGTTTTTGTTGTTAAATTGACACCTCTTTATTCTGAAACTATGCACTCTGGTTCTAGACTCTCCCATGAGGGGAACCATCCTCTAGGCACTTACCCTGTCATACCAATTAAGAATCCTATCTGTTTCAATATAGATATGGCATCAGAACATCCCACAGCACTTTAGGTAGGAAAGACAACAACCACTTTTCACATTGGAATTCCCCCAGACAGCCACACAATAGTGCTGAAATTGTCACTTCTAGTATGTAACCTGAATATCACTGAGAAAAGTGAGTCACGTTGCCTAAGCTTCTTTGTTTTACCCTCGTCAGGACAAATACAAGAATGCCAAATTTCAAAAATCCACAACAATTTATACTACAGCGGAAAAGGCCGCTGATTGGTTGCTAAGTCAACAATGATTGGTTGAGACTTTGCCAAGAAAGCAAAAGACTATAGGCTACCCACATTCCCCGAGTAATTCAAAAATAACACAAGGCCTGAACATATTCCGTTTGTTTGAAGAGAACAGATTCTTGTCTTTGAATGTATGTCACATCTAGCAAGTGTAAATAAGCCACATTATAAGCTCGAATAATCACCTCAAATTGGTCGTCAGTATAGCTACTTGGGATTGGTCATATGTACTGCCGAAGTGAAGGAACGATGATATATTTCCAAAACAGGATAGTGAGTGGCTTGGAGGGGATCTTGCAGGGCGTCCTGTTCCCATCTATCTGCTTCCCTTATCCTTCCAGATGGAAGTAGTCATGACTTGGAAGTTGGTGTCTAAGGACCTTTAGTGAATTTCTTCAGTGAATCTCATAGATATTTGATTTGATTTGAATCACAGAATCCATAGAATCCCTCCAGTGTGGAAACAGGCCATTTGGCCCAGCAAGTCCACATTGACTGTCTGAAGGGTATCCCACCCAGACTCACCCACCTACCCTATCCCTGTATTTCCCATTGGTTAATTCACCTAGCCTGCACATCCCTGGACACTATGGGCAATTTAGCCTGGCCAATCCACCTATCCTGCACATCTTTAGACTGTGGGAGGAAACCAGAGCACCTGGAGGAAATCCACGCAGACACGGGGAGAATGTGCAAACTCATCATGGATTTGATTTATTGTTGTCTCATGTGCCTAAGTACAGTGAAAAGTTTTGTTTTTTGAACAGTGCAGGCATATCATAGCAAACAAGGATATGCAAATCGTAGGGTGCTTACACAGACCGAGGCATACAAGGTTACAGCTGCACAGGAGGGGCACATGGCAAGGTCAATATTAGATTGGAAATTAGACAGGTCCGTTCAGCAGTCCAATAACAAGCAGGAAAGAAACTGTTCTTGAATGGCAGCACAGTGGCTCAGTAGTTAGCACGGCTGCCTCATAGTGCCAGGGACTTGGGTTCAATTCTACCCTCAGGCAACTGTCTGTGTGCAGTTTGCACATTCTCCCCATGTTTGTGTGGGTTTCCTCGGGGTGCTCTGGTTTTCTCCCACAGTCCAAAGATGTGCAGGCTAGGTGGATTGGCCATGCTAAATTGCCCATCATGCCCAGGGATGTGTAGGTAAGGTGGGTTAGACATGGGAAATATAGGGGTAGGGGAATGGGTCTGGGTGGGATGCTCTTCCGAGGGGCAGTGTGGACTTGTTGGGCCGAATGGCCTGTTTCCATAGTGTAGGGATTCTATGAACCTGCTGGTATGTGTGTTCAAGCTTCTGTATCTTCTGCTTGACGGAAGAGGTTAGATGAGAGCATTACGGGGTCTTTGGTGATGTTGGCAGCCTTTCCATGGCAAGGAGAAGTTTAAATAGAGTCCATGGTCGGGAGGTTGTCTTCTGCGATGGCCTGGACTGAGTTCTTACTGTAGTTTCTTACGGTCCCGGGCAGAGTGGTGGAGGGAGTGGATGCTTGTAGATGTGGTGCCAAACGGGAGGGTTGCTTTGTCCTGGATGCTGTCCGTCTTCTTGAGTGTTGTTGGGGCCGCACTTATCCAGGCAAGTGGGGAGTATTCCATCACACTCCTGACTTTTGTGCCTTGTAGATGGTGGACAGGCTTTGGGGAGTCAGGAGGTGGGTTGCATTGGTGGTTAAAAAAAAGACTGGATTTTAAAAAAAATTGTGTTAAAGTGGACATGGTATAAAAGAAGGCTGGGTTTTAAAAAAAAGTTGTTAAAGTGGACATCTGGTTTTAAAAAAAAAGACGGACTGGGTTGAAAGATCTCCCACCCCATCTGGTGGCTAGGTATGGGGGAAGTTTGAGTGGAAAAGGTGGGGAGATGTTGCACTGGCAGTAACGCTTATCTGTCTGTGTTCCCCTCCCTCTCACTCAGTGCCGGCCGCCCTGACCCTGGAGCCGAACACGGCCCACCCCGAGCTGCTGATCTCCGAGGACCTGAGGAGCGTGAGGCTGAGCGACACCTGGCAGGAGCTGCCCGACAACCCGGAGCGTTTCGATGACTGTGTGAGCGTGCTGTCCGCCCACGGCTTCGAGTCCGGCCGCCACTACTGGCAGGTCGAGGTGGGCAACAAGACCATGTGGGACGTGGGCCTGGCCAAGGAGTCGGTCAACCGGAAGGGCAACATCATCCTGTCCCCGGAGGACGGCTTCTGGACCATCTGGCTGCGGAACGGCAACGAATACGAGGCGCTGTCCACGCCGTCTTCCTTCCTGTCGCTCCGGGCCAAGCCCAAGACCATAGGGGTCTTCCTAGACTACGAGAAGGGCCAGGTCTCCTTCTACAATGCCGAAGACATGTCTGTCATCTACACCTTCACCGACACGTTCAACGAGAAACTCTTCCCGTATTTCAGCCCCGGAGAGAGCGACGGGGGCAAAAATGCTGAGCCCCTCACCCTCTGTGTGCTCCGGTTATAGGACTGCCCGGCTGAAGGGATGGGTGGGGGGGGTGCAAAATAAATATATATATATTATATACCCCCTACTTGGACCATTCGGAAACCGCTACCTTTTTCTTTTTGTTCTTCAAATACGCACCTCCCACCTTTCCCCTCACCGTGTATTGAATCCCTGCTAAAGGAGAACAATTTCTGCCTCTGTCCCACATAACGTTGTACACCTCAATACTATTGCCGTGCAAAGACGCCTCTTTTTCTTTGATAAGGTGTCGGGCTCTGTCTGTCTCTGCAAACGTTAAGGGCCAGCACTGAGAGTTCAACTGACCCCCTCCTCCCCTCCTTTGTCTTTTCCAGACTGGCATCTGTTTTTATTCCCCTCCCTCTTCCCCCCTCCCAATTCCTTCACATCGACCGTTTTTGGGTGGAGATATTGGCCCCAGCCTTTCCTGACTTTTCTTTTGCAACGAGACAATCGTCTGAGCCTCGACTGAATTTAAATAGCATCCTGCCCTGGTTTCCTACTGAATGACTTAGTTGCACTAAGCGCCTCTTCCTCCTTCCTCCCTTGCCTTTTCCAGCCGTCCCCTGGAGGCTTCGATCCTTCCCGTTTGCCCTGCCTCTCCCCTCACCTCCCCCCACCCCCCACCTCCCCCTGCAAGGCTGCATTGTGTGTCCACCCCTGATCTGCACTCCCGTTTCCCCTTGGCTTACCCAATGCTCTTCCGCTTCCCTCTCTGGGTTCAATAAGGTACCAGGAGTTGGGGGGAGGGCGTGGGGAGCCTGGAAAACTGCCGCGGATCGGCCCTTGCCGGCATTAGATGGAGTCAAAAGTGGCATTTTTCACCCCGTCAAGGCGATTAAAGCGAACTTTATTTCGCGGGTGGATCACCGCCGGATCTAAGACCTGTCGCCGGGGTAGGAAGGGAGGCTTGGGGTTTGTTTTTTGTTTGGAGTGTGTGGGGTTGGGATGGGGGAGACAGGAGGGGTGCAAATAGGCTCCCTACCACGTGTTTTTTTTGAGGGGTGGGTGGGTGCTGGAGCGCAGGAGGGTATATTTTTGTACCCATTTCCACCGCAACAGCCCGCGGGCACACGGGAGCTTGGGTGTCCTGGTGAAAGTCAATAATATTACAGAGTGAGATTGACAAGGGAGCAATAATGACTTATTTATCACAGTCAATGTGACAGAGCAAATCCTTTATTTGCAAATCAGAAGGTCTTTCTCACAAACTGACTGACAATTCCATGATGTCAAGAACTCCTATTTTCTTTTGGTTCTGTATTTAATGATCGCTTCTGGTGATGAATGAGGTGGAGCCTGTTGTTATTCTGTTTCGAGTCTTACAACGTTGCGAAGTCCGAATCTCTCTCTCTCTGTCTCTGCTCCCAGCCCAGTTAACAGCGCAAAGTCGCACATCGGAATCCTCTCCCACAGGAAACGCCTCCCGGTGCATTCCATTTGAAACCCTCACTCGCCCAGTCTCGCCCTCGAAAAATCTCCTCCCGACTGCTAACCCTTCGCATCTTTCGGCAGAACTCAGCGATTGGAACCCAGCGCCCCCAGGTCCTGGAATGTGAGGTCCCAGTTGCCGAACAGTTCCTGCTGAGCTTCCCCAGCAGTTCCCACTCTTCCTGTTGCCTCGTCCAGCAAAGAGCCTGTCGTTTGGAGCCGGGACCGGTTCACCGTTTCCGATTTAACAGTGCGCTTGGAACTCGGGGCTCTGCGATTTTAATCGTTGGGTCGTTCACTCAAACCTCAGGACACCCCCGGTACCCACTTGTGCAGAGAAGCTAGTTGCTCGCTTTCTTTCAATTTCAAAAATATACTTTTATTCATATACTTTTATTCAAGTCCTGCGGGAAAAGAAGAGGGTAGATCTTGTCGTGTGGTTCCCTGAGCAGGCTGTCAAAGTCTTTTGGCAGAATGTCTCATCACCAGAACTTTCCAACAAGCACCAAGACATCGCTTGGCTGGTGGTGAGAAGGGCACTACCTGTGAGATCCTTCATGTTCACCCGGTTGGTTTGTGCCACTGCACGCTGCCCTCAAAAAGTGTCCCAAGCTGCTCCGTGACGCGGGACTCTGTGCTCTACAGTCTGTTCCCCAGGACGCACACTGAGACAAATATTGACTGCGCCTGGAGGACCAACAGCTCGGTGTAGGACTCTCTGGTCTGCCTGAAACGTGTTGGTCTTCCAGAGCGAGGAGTTGACCCCGACTGAGAGTTGCAGACTGGCACATTCCAAGATCCGGGGGCTATGTGCGAAGCTAGTCGCTTGCTGCTGAAATGAGGCCAGGGCACCCCCCAAATTGAGCACAACAAGTCCCATGAGCTGTCAATTGTTAATGATTCAATATCTGGTTAAGTGATGTTGACAGAGACATCAATATAGTCCAGGATGTTGGGGAGAACTCCCCCTTAATCTAGTGCCTTTGCACCCATCTGAGAGAGAGAGAGAGAAAGTAAATGGGGTTTTATAGCTTGTGCGAAAGCAGGCATCAGCGACAAAGCTGCACTCTGCCTATCGGGCACGGATGCCAATGCCTGTTTGGAACTGGAGTGGCACCCATTTGGCTCCATGCAGTACCCATTCAAACAACTCACAACTGAACTGTGACTAACTCATCGACTCACCTTAAGTCCAGAGTCTGGGAGAACACAGGTCCTGCCCTTTGTGTGACTAAAAGCAAAACTCATTTCACTCCTCAAAGAGTTTAGGTCTAATTTTAAATCCTAGCTCCTGCATCAGTTTCTCTGTGTCTGTCCTACTGTTTGACATTCACTGGATCACCCTTCAACTTTCTACATACTCAAAGGAATATAAGCCGTGTATTGCAGCCTGGTATCGCAACATAAGCATTGAAGATATATATATATTTCTAAATTTAAACAAAAGCAGACTTTAATTGTTTATTAATGACCATAACCGCCTTGAAATCACTTTAGCGATGTTGGTGTGTCAGTATGGATTACCGAGCTTCTAATACTGTTAACCCATTGAAAATAAAACAAATCATGTCTCTGTTTAAATAACCCCAAAGGAAGAAAAAAGATATCATTCATCCATTAATATCATCAACGTTTAGCTTTTGTTTTAACCACATCAAGTGATGTGACAATCCAGGGTATGGTAATTTCATGGTTACATCAGTAATCCAGATGATTAATGCTGGGGAATGTGAAAAAGGGAATTTGGATTCACTTTCTTTTTAACAAAAAGTCTGGTGGTAAATTGGCCGTGTCAGCAAAAATGCTGCTTAAAAGAACCCAGCTGCGTCACCTCAGTGGAAGGAATGCTTGCAGTTCCCATGCCCAGTATTACATGGGTCTCCAGTCCCATACAGTGCTGAAGGTCAGTTGCTCTTTGGAGTAACTCAGAAAGTCACTCCCAAATTGGGGCAAAGAACAGAGGTGAGTGCCAACTGGATGAAGGGAAGGTGGGGTGGGCAGTCAAACTGCAAGCATTGCCCACACCCTCAGAATAAAACATTCAAAGGGGTAAAACAATATTAAATTCCTGTTTTCCCCACCTTACTCTTCGATCACCTTGGTGAAGTTACTGTAGAGCTCAGTGTTATGAGCTGATTGTCAGGATTGTCATCCCTAAGGGCAACCCTCCAACCACAGGCGAATGTTCTGTTTGGGATTCCACAAAAATGACAGCAGAATGGAGACGCTGCAGAAATTACCAAACAGAAATCTGGCCTGGGTCTTCCCAGACCCTCATGTTTCCAGATTTCATCTCCAATACTGTCTGGCTGAAGAAGTGGAAAAGTAATCTTACCCCTGTTCAGGGAAACTGTGAATCCATTCCTCGTGTAAATGCTCAAAATGTCACCTAAGCTAGCCAAGAGGACTCTTTTGGTGCAGTAGTGGTGTCCCTACCTCTGGACCAGGAGGCCTGTGTTCAAGTCCCACTTGCTCCCCGAGCTGTGCGTCATAACATCTCTGATGTGGAGGTGTCGGTATTGCACTGGGGTGGATAAAGTCAAAAATTACATTACAGGTTATAGTTCAACAGGTTTATTTGAAATCACAAGCTTTTTGTAGTGCAGCCCCTTTGTCAGGTGCAGTGAGAGGAGAGCACACAGACACAGAGTTTATAGGCAGAAAGATGAAGGGCGGAGAGATCAAAGGATCATACGACTGATGTGAGTGAAGTGAACAAACCTAAAATAGCTGACTGATTCCTCCTGTTGAATCTTTAACTATTCATACATTCCTGCATTCTAGAAATTGCAGAAGCAGGGTATGGAGAACTTTGTTAGTTTCAATTGATTAAGATGCTAATTCCTGAACCAGTTTCAAGTCAGCCCTGAGATAGTTAAAGGTTTCATCAGTGTCTGCCTAACTTTCCAAACTTCAAACAGGCAGGGCGATAAGAATATACAACAGGTGACATTTCAGGTCAGACAGTGAGTTGTAGGTGTGAAGCCTTGTCGAGAATCTGTCTCAGAGTTTTAACCTGCAATCAGGCTGGTTTTGTTCCAAAAGCAGGAATTTATAAAATGCCACCCTGACTGACTGTGACAACAAATTGTGTGTTTCTAGAACAAAATAGAATGTATCTGCAAATACACAAACATCTTGGATGAAATGATTGACCCCATAGGTTAATGTGTGTGTGTGTGTGTGTGTGTGTGAGAGAGAGAGAGAGGTGTCTGTATGAATGTGTGTGTGTGTGTGAAAGTATGTGCGCAAGCATGTGTGAGAGTAGTGTGCGAGAGAGAATGTAATAAATAATCCAAAACTGTACTGGGAGGGAACATTCCTGTCTGGCAATTGTTGTGCATTCATCATGGTGTCCATTCATCCATTGTCATAGCATCTGCATGGTTTCGCCAATGTACCATACCTTGGGCCATCCTTGCCTGCAGCGTATGAGATAGACAACGTTGGCCAAGTCACGAGTATCTGCTGTGTACTTGGTGGATGGTGTTCCCACGTGTGATGGTAGTGTCCATGTTGTGGATGATCTGACATGTCTTGCAGACATTGCCATGGCAGGGTTGTGTGGTGTTGTGGTTGATGTTGGCCTGAA